ATGAAGACAAACATGATGACAAACATGATGACAAACATGACGACCAAGATGACGACAAAGATGATGACAAAGATGACAACAAAGATGACGACAACGATGATGACAAAGATGATGACGAAGATGACGACAAAGATGACGAAAAAGATGTTGACAAAGATCATGACAAAGATGACGAGAAGGATGATGACAAAGATGACGACGAAGATGACGATAAAGACGATGACAAAGGTGATAACAAAGATGACGACAAAGATGACGACCAAGATGATGAAAAAGACGATGACAAGAATGATGATAAAGATGACGGCAAAGATGAGGACAAAGATGACGATTAAGACGATGACGAATACGATGATAAAGATGATGCCAAAGATGGCGACGTAGATGATGAAAAAGTCGATGATGAAGGCGACAATGACGAAGATTATCACGACAATGATGAGGACGATGATGATGAAAACGATGATGACCAGGAGGATGATGACGATGTTGACGATAATAACGATGATGACAATAATGATGACGGCGATCATGATGAGGATGATGATGATGACGATGATGTTGACGATGATGATGGCGACGATGATGACGATGATGATGACGACGATAATGATGATGGGAATGATGATAGCGCTATTCATTACCAACTTGACGAAAACGAAGTCGGGAACCGAGACAGGAAAGGAAACCGACAGAGTTATATAAACGGTAAAATACAACGTGCCCAAAGAGGCCAATTCCTCACAACTGGAGGTTACACATACATTAATGCGTTTGCTAGTGTATGGCTTAGCGTTATGATAACTCTCTTACCAGTCTTTTTCTATTTTGTCACTGACATTATTGTATTACTTTAGATGGCTGACTTGTGTCCATTTGAGCCTTGGATTTAGCTTTTTGAGCAAGAAAAAGACGTATTTGATATATATTTAATATTTAAAGGTGTAAGTTTTTTGATATTTGCTTAGTCCATATTTTAGAGGAATACAGGGTGGATTTGCGAAATCTTAACGAAGGCGCGATATTTACACCTTCAGGTCACCTACTGATTGGAATGATTTTTATTGGGATTACGTTTTTTTGTGCGCACATGTTGAGTGAAGTCAAACAAAGTGACTTAAATTTACATAGACTTAACATGAAGCAAATTAGTTGTTTATTTGTCGTGTTTCAAAAAACCACTTTGAACATTTTTTAATAGTTTAAATTGGTTAGTAAGCAGATTATGCCATTATTTCAGAGAAATTGTACACTTGACGTTGATTAGAAGGAATGTTTTTTTTTATTATAAACGTTGATTTATTTAGTTGTACGGAAAGTCCCACAAGCACCTAGCTTCAGTTTAATCTTAACTGAGTACAAATACATCATTATTATTTTCATTATAAAGGACATTAGTTATCGTGATTAACAATTGTTTTACTAGTTGTTTAACTTGTCATACCAGTGAATGTCGATTAAAAACATTGATAATGATATTTATTTGCTTGATTTGGCCTAAGATACATTCGTTGCCAAAAACAGGGAATTCTATCAATTTTGAGAGGCTTGGTAAACATCTCGCGATTTTCGATGAGGGCTGATTTAACGAAAAGAAACATCAGAGATTGAAGAAAGGTCCTTTGACCCAATTTGAAACAGGCGAGATTAGCGAAGGAAAGACAGTTTATGTTCGGAAGCGAGGTCCGATATTATCAATGGTAAACTCCACCCGAGGTAATTATTTCCTGTTATTAGTAAGGACCAATAATGACGTTACCGTGGTCGGGTAAATGGGAGATTTTTATAAGAGACTATGGATTTAACAACGAGGTGATTGTATGAGCGGGGCATTTGTAAGGCGTAGTTCTTATCAAAAAATTGACGTAAGTTTTCCATGCGTTTGTCCTGTTATTGATCATAAATTTCATCATAACGGTGCCGAAGACTACTTTGACAATGACAAAATTCATTGTCAATAGCAGGACAGACACATGAAAGACTGACGTCAATCGTTTTCAATAAATTATCTCATAAATCATACATTCATATCTCTGTCCGCTTATTGAAAATGAAAATTAACCAGTGAGGGAGCAAGAATTTCTGCAGTTTTTGTAAAAAATAATTTCATATGAATGTAAGCGGTTGCAATTAAGGTTACGTTTCAATTCACTCTGCTCAAACTAACGGAAATTATTTTCCTCTTAAATGTAATACATTCAAAACAAACAACACTGTTTGATGGTTGGATGCTAAGGCATTCCAACCTCATGAGAAATAACAGAGTGAAACAGAGAAAGGAAAAATTATTACCGCGAAAAAGCTGTTTAGCACCGTCAGACTTAAAACGTTTAGAACTGCCCGGCTTAGACTTGTCGGAATCCTTCCACAGTTTTTGTCCGCAGCATTCTTCGCCTCCCTGAGGCATTTTTCGTCTTCGGAGTTTCAGACCAGGTCATTTATCCGACTCATATTCTTGAACCACTAGCCAGCCGTCTTTGCTGCGGTCAGCAATCTTATTAACTTCTGCCTATTGCGAATGATTTGTTGTGCTTCCTGCCCCAAACTATATACTTGACTGGAGTCGTCAGTACTGGTTTTTATTCGGGAAAGGAGGCTTTCTAGTTCGACGTTCACCTCAAACTGCTTATTGTTACCCTTGAATTTGAATTACGAGGCGGACCTCTCTATTTTCAACTGATCCTCTATCCGCTTTCTTCTTGGTTTCCAGTTGAGTATTAAGATATCCCTTAAATCAGGAAAAAAAAAAAGACTCCGTCCACCAACTCTGAACTCTAAGGTTTAGGATTCTCTGGACTTTCTTTCTCTTTCGTTCTCTCAACAATAGATTCCGAGTCGGATATCACAGGGACTGAAACGAACGGCAAACACTTCGGAAACTAGAACTCGAGAGAGAGAAAGAAGCACCTCCTGCTAATGAATATATGGTATCCAATAGCCAATCAAAAGGTGCCACAGATACTCCTGCAAAGAATTGCTTACATACCAGCGGAAAATACATATTTACACTAAGAGTGATATTTGAGAATTCTCTCAAAATTGAAAGAGCCTTCAGGCGAGTACAATTTGAAAGGTTTTTTTCAAATGTCACGAGTAGTGTAAATCCTTAATTGCCCAAGCTATTATACGATTAGTCATTTTTTATATGACTGAGAAAATCACGAAAGCGCTCGCATTAATTTGCACTACAGTACATTGGCCTGCCCTCAGCCAATCACAGTGAAGCAATGTTCTCAGTCATATAAATTGCTCAGTCATTGCTCTGGCAATTTTTAATAATTTTTTTGGCTCGGTTTAAATTTCTCAAGTAAAACCATATCAGTGTACGTTCGGATTCCAGATCTACAATTAAATTCACGAAGAAAATACCTCCTCCGTCAGATGCTTGGTAGCGTGGCCGAGTGGTCTATGGCGCTGGTTTTTAGGCACCAGTCTCTTCGAGGGCGTGGGTTCGAATCCCACCGCTGCCACTTCGTTATTTTACCTTATCATGATATATTTGTTTCGTTATGTCGTTTGATGAAGAAACAGACACCATATCCACTAGCAAATTTCATTTGTTAATTTTCAATGACTTTTTTCTGGTCAAATTCAGCTCACAAAAATTGGCAATCAGATTTAAAAAGACTAAAACAAGCTCCGTGACCCTTTGCTCTTGGGCTTTCGTACCCGCTAATGTTCTGGATGGATATTTATGTTTCCCTGTTTTGTGCGTCGTGGTAGTTGCATTATATCTAAATATGAGTTTATATGTTTTTATATGTGACAAGTTTGTTTCCCAGATAAATCAGTTCAATTTTCTAGGTACTTTCACCTAAGGATCAGAAGATGGCCACCCCTAGGTGAGATGTATGGTATCAGGAGTCATAATCGGGGACGGAGACCGTAAGCGCGTACCATTTCTAGTATTGGGGTTGCCCCCATGATATGGGACAATAATTCTATTTTTTGAAAAAATTGCGCCATCGCCTGCGGTACACGCGCGTACACGCTGCGAGGATTTTTGCGGAGGTCGCGCGGGGGAAATGGCGCCCGAAATTTCCGAAATTTTTCATGTTTTTGGCCCACAACTCAACGCGTTTAGGTCTGTTGGAATTTTTCTTAAGTATTTTCGTCGTAAGCTGCGCCAGTTTGAGTGAAGTAAGACAGTGTCGAATTTAGGTATTTTCCGCTTTAAGCTTATATATATCGCGCTGACCAAGTTGTGTTCCGACGGATGCTTCTTTTACATGAAAACACCGACTCGGACTTGAAAGTGCACGAGCTCCCCTATGCAAATGAGCTAATTGTACGTGTCAGGCTTTCCTTTCAAAAACTTTTGCAAACTCACCAAACAAGCAGAAACAATAAGAAACCATCAAAATAGGTTTGGTTATGATTAACCATTGTCTGAGAAACTCACAAATTAACTCGATACCTGAGTAGAGAGTTTTTTTGCTATATTTTTTATAAATCAGAACAAACGCAAAAACATACGCGTAAGCTTACAACTAGCGCGAGCAGATCTTATTATTCATTCCCAGCGCGAGATTGAAGTCTTGTTTTTGACCCTGAAAAACCCACCTTTTCCGTTAGCTCAGAGCATAAAACTACATATAAGCGCCCTGGTTCGTATTCCCTGCCTTATTCCYTGCCATCGCTGTGAAAAATACGCAAGATARTMTCTCAAGGTCTCTCAACTMTCACCATTTGATCACGCAACGTGACAATATCCACGCGAGAGCCCCCGACATGTGCGTGGATCCGCGCGGATATATGACGTCAGGATGGCGCAATTTGTTCTAAAAATAGAAAAACTGCCTCATATCATAGGTGCGCGCGGATCCCAAGACTTACGGTCTCCGTCCCCGATTATGGCTCCTGATGGTATGTAAAATAAATAAATCAGGATACAATGCCTTAGCTCTCGATCGTCTGAAAAAATTAAGTAAACCTTGCAAAAAAGGTTGTAAGCATAAGCTTTAAAAAACTCGCCTTGAAATCAAGTTTAATTTCAGTAACTAAAGAATCACCTTAAATATCCTTCTGTATTTTTTAACACGCACAAATTTTATTATACTCTTTTAAGGTTGAACCTCTTAGTTTAACTTTTTTAATTTCTCTACGAAAACGTAAGAAGAGAAAACATTTGAGATAAACACCACAACAATATGAACAGCTTCTACTATTTGCTGGTGAAGTATATTCCCACATTTTTATTAAAGAAATGTAAAACTTAATATTAGATGATAATAGAAACCTTAGATATAAATTATTTCGGCCAGATGTACGTTAGCTTCAGTACAGGAAGTGAAATAGAATGACACCCTTTCTTACAACCATTCCGAGACTTTTA